AGTTGCCTTACAAATTAGGAGTAGAGCTGACCCATAGCCAGCTTGAAATATCAATTCAGCTTGATCTTCAGAACTATCCTAAACCACAACCTTTATGGGATCAACCGCATGCCCTTAATGTTTAAAACAAATCATAAAATGTGACAAGGAGCAAAATTCTTACATATCACACGGTCAATGAGTTACATAAAATGTTGATCAGAATGGTCCCTACAAATATCTGATAAGATACATTTTGGTTTGGTAGGTTGGCCTGTACTGTATAACACCATGGATTTCTTTTTCCTTTTGTTGAGAGCAAATAGTTTGGCCACCCAGATGTCCATGGAACGAGATGATCTGAACTTTGAGATGGATCTTGCTGTAATTGTCACCTAATTTGGCCACAGCCCACATCATTCAGACCCTTATAAGCTTCCACTCAGGAAGTCACCAGAAAATCTGAAAGTTTAATCCTGCTAATCAGGTACTAATCAGATGACCACGAGTTAAAAAAAACACTTCCCTCTCATTCCAATTTGTAGAATAGAGTTAGAAGGAGCTGCAGCATAAATCAGCATGATATGACAGAGCACTCATCCTGTCTGAAGGATCTGGCTTACTGTTATATAGAGAACTACTGCTCTCACCTGCTACCACATCGGTTCTGCCAGAAAACCGCAAAACTTTTGATGGTTTCAAAGTTGGTTTGACACAACATACTCAATCAGGTTGTATCTGGGTTTTTACAAGAGTGTGATTTTCTAAACATCCCTATTTACTGCACATGCTCAATGTAAGTCTGCTTTGCTTCGTCCTAAATGAAAGAAGCTTCCTCCATAATCCATCGTGTGGGTCAAGGCACATCAAATCACCTGAGGACAATACACAGTGTGACACCTCTTTCATTTCCCCCGATAGCTCTTTGAAATCAGATTATTGCAATCGAAAGCATATTGAAAGGTAAGGAGTGGGTAAGAGGACAGAATGCTCAAGTGGACTTGCTGCAGAGGAGTGGAACTCACAGGGTAAATGTCAGACCTTGATTTTACACACTTTAACCATCGGGTTGAACTGTATGACAGAGGCTGAATCCATACTCTGGGGCTGAAAGGGGGATGTGAGCCTGCCTGGGATGCTAAGAGACTGCCAAGTGCTGTTGGGCTAATGATAAAAAGATAAGGAAAGGCTGCATTTATATAGCACCTTAAACGACTTCAGAATGCTTTATAACCTGTAAAATATGCTGGAGGTATGGTCACTGTCACATTGTAAGAAACAAATACCTCGACCAATTTGTGCACAGTAAGCTATCAATTAAATGATTTGTTTTTAAGTGATTGAAAGAAATATTGGCCAGATCATTCCTCTGACCTCCTTCAAGTAAACAACATGAAACCGCTTCCATAGAGAAGGGAGGTATGGATGTCTCAGCCAGCAGTCCTACACTGGAGTGTTAACTTTGGATTCAGTGCTGAAGTCTCCTGAAGTTAACGTTTTGGATACCAAGGCTACTGTTCCACAACTGAGCCAGAACTAATGGGTGTTCTGCAAACTGGACTTGCTACAGGATCATTGGATCGTGAGGATTCCAAACATAATTAGGCAACAGTTCCAGAAGAAATCTCACTAACAATTCATGTTTCTATAAAGTTTGGACTAACACACACAATTACAATTTCTGCAGAAAAGTTTGGTGCAATTTTTTCACCTACCTGAGAAGGACATCATGAAGAGATGGAATGCAAAATCCATATTTTAAATGCCACAAAGAAAATTATTGAATTGTTCCTGCTTTATTACTTCGCTCAGCTTTACTGAGGAATGTGACTGAAAGCAGAATGGTGATTCAAGTTTCTTTCTGTTTAAGTTTAGAGGAAGTATATTTTAAGGAATGAGGAGGAACTGGGACAAGATGAATTATTTTGGTCTGAGATGTTTTTATGGGTACTTTTTCTGACTGTTTTTGCAAGTGTGGTAAAGTGGAAGTAATTAGTAGAAAGCTGATTTTTGGGTGCTTAATCAAATCAAGCAGTAAGTTAATATCAATGGAATGCCAATATCCGGTTTTCAAGAGTTGGCCGAATGTGCTAATCAGCCGCTCCCATCATTAACCTGAAACACTTGTCTTGTGAATGAACCATGAAATGAAACAATGTACTTTTAAAGGGGGGTTTAAAGGAGCAGGGGCCCTGAAAGGGAATGTAGCCCCTCTCTATCGCTGCCCCATCTTCTCTACTCTCTTCAATGCAACTGTCCTGTGGCTTACTGGAGGGTGTTTACCTCTGTTCCCACAGCCTGATATTTATTGAACACATTCGGAAAGGGCTGGAGAAACTCAGCAGGCCTGGCAGCATCTGGTGGACAGAAGGACAGTTAATGTTTTGAGTCTGGCATGATTGTTTTTCACAGCCTTTGCCAGTGACTAGCGGCTACAGTTTTCCACTCTTATTAAAATGAGTGTCAAGATCCAAATCTGCTCAGGGCTTGGCCTCATGTACTCTGGTGCAGGGATTGAGAAATCCTACTCACAGATCACATGAACGAGTTTCTACTCCAATGCCTTTTGTTTGGTTTCTAAATCGTTCTGTGAGGAATTTGTTGCCATCTGTTGCCTTTCTGTCCCAACCACAGAAGAGTCTAATTTGGAAATGAACTTTAATCATCTATTCGATTTTAATAATCTATTGCTTGCAACAGTCTTATTGACCTTATGGTGGATTGTTTCAATTGGAGATTGATTTCATTATCAGCAGACTTGTCATTAATATCTCCTTATGTGGCTTGATAATGCTTCTGTGAAACATCTTGGGACCGTCTCAGGTCTTTTCTGCCAAAATACAATGAAGGTTTGTTCAGGTGTCAGACCCTATCATTGCCTCAAATGTATGTAAATAGTGTCCTGCATAAGTAAGAAATACCTTTGGCTTTTGCAAATGCAGCAAATGTCAGATTCTAAAGTTTATTTTTCTTGATGGTGTAAAGTCTGTACAGAATTGCTTAAGTACCTGTGTATGTACATACAGTTTCGTTATGAATAAAGTATATTTTTCAATCAAAAATAACCTGGGACGCTTGTAGTATGTGGAAAGTGCTATACAAATGCAAATTGCTCCTGTTGTCATTCTCAATACTCCATTCATGCATCAAATCATTACTAATAACGATGACTTTTAAAGCATTTGTCTATTCTGTCTTTTTTCTGTTGCAGTAATGAAGTTTATGAGATTGTTAGAGTTTGGGTCTGCAGATGGTGTATCTGTTTCCTCAGGAGTGATGGGGAAAGGGGTGGGATTGCTTGATAATCAGGCACTTTGGCAATTTGGAAGTACCCATCCCTTGATGCCTTCTTAGGATATAAGCTCAGGATGGGAAGGATGGCTTTCAATTTCAGTCCCTTAATACCCACTCATTGTCTTATTCCTACCGGACTGCAATTTGTTCAGCGAAAGGTGGGCTGAGAAAGAGTTGCCCTCTCTAACTGGTAAACTGATATGGGCAGGTGGTCAGAAAGGGACAGTGGGTGGGGAGGAGCAATGTTTCCCCGAATTTTTTTTTCTGCTGCACAGGTCACTCAGGTCCAAAATCTGCAGCGATTTCCACATGCAGAAGTCAATGTGTCAGCATGCAGACTGGCACACACAGAACTTCCAGCAGTTATACAATGTGGCATGGTGGCATGGGGCAGCACAGTGGCTCAGTGGTCAGCACTGCTGTCTCAGAGCAACAGGCACCCGGGTACGATTCAAATCTCGGGTAACTGTCCGCGTGGAATTTGCACATTCTCCCCATGTCTGCGTGGGTTTCTGCCACATAAACATCGTGGCTACAAGAGCAGGTCAGAGGCTAGGAATATTCTGATGAGTAACTCAACTCCTGACTCCCCAAAGCCTGTCCACCAACAATAAGGCACAAGTCAGGAATGATATGGAATACTCGCCACTTGCCTGGATGGATGCAGCTACAACAGCACTCAAGAAGCTTAACAGCCTCCAAGGCAAGTTGGCCAGCTTGATTGCTCCACATGTACAAGCATCTATTCCCTCGATCACTGACGTGCAGTAGCAGCAGTGTGTACTATCTACAAGATCCACTGCAGAAATTCACCACAAATCCTATACAGCAACATCCACACCAATGATCCTAAGCAGCTCCTCCCAAACCAACAATCACTTCCATTTAGAAAGACAAAACAGCAGATACATGGGAACAATACCATCTGCAAGCTCCCCTCCAAGCCACTCACCATCCTGACTTAGAAATATATCACCGTTCCTTCACTGTCACTGGGTTAAATCCTGGAATTCCCTCCCTAATGG